GGAAAGGAAAGGAAAGGAAAGGAAAGGAAAGGAAAGGAAAGGGACATGAACACTTATTCTGAAGCTGACAGGTCACAGTGCACGAATATCTTAAAGTCATTACATTTGATGTAGAGTACAAATGTTTAATCCACAGAGGTTCCTTGAGCACTTTCATTGAGAACCTGAATGAAGGAAGTTACAATGTCTAGGGGCTTTGAAAAGATTCCTAGAAATATTTTTACACTTCACATTTGCAGAGGAAAAGTGCTCAGTGCTTTTTAAAATAGGCACTTCCTCTGAAGTTGAGGACCCAATAACGTAAAGTTGTCAAATATTTCAAAAACTTAAGATCTGAAACCCAACACAGATTAGAGTATTGCCACATCAATCATTCCTCTTTGCCTGCAGTATGAGGAATAATCTATGTTAACATTATTTGGGTTTTAAGCCCGTTTTAATATTATACTAGAGAACTTGAAAAGGCAAACCAGGCACATGCATTGAAGTTTAGGGAACACCTCTTGCTTTCATGCCAACCCTCTTTTGTCATTATGCAGTCTTATTGGCATAACAAATACACTGTTCGGAGGGCAAGGAGATCAGCAAAACCAAGACTACAAAGCATGGCTCTGACTCTGTTTTTGTTAATTAAAAAAAAAAAAAAGAAAAAAATAGTGCAAGTAGCATGTGTTTKAAGACTGTATAGCTGAGTTTCATTTAATTAGTGCCCTAAGCAGTGCCCTGGCATTTTTACTCACTTCCACGTCTAGGTCCGCTAACCCTCTTGAACCATTGCCTCTTTCTCTCTGTGCTGCCAGCCTCCCTATGAAGTCTTCATCCCTTTCCTCCCTTTTCTTTGAGCCTGCATGCTGGCCAGCCCACTCCTTCCCACCAACAGGCTCTTATGGATGTTTGCCAGCGGCAGGAGAAGCGCGACCACCCAACACTTTCCTGCACAGCAGCCCTCTCCCAAACAATCCAACCTCAACACATGTGGAGAGCTGCCCTTAAGACCACCCCTGCTCCTCTCATGCCGTTTCCACCACTAGAAACACACCACGAATCAAATGGACAACGGTTACAGTGAGCACAGAAGTGTCGCGGTAGAATTCCTTATCTTTACAACAGCTGATAAGAGGCTATAATAAGCATGTAAATCACAGAGGAGGTGTGTTTTACACACACAAGAAATAGTTCGTTGTGTTATAGCTATCTGGCTACCATTCAACACTATCTTGRACTTTAAGAACTCTGTTGCCATTCCTGTTTCTAAATAAAGCAAATATCTGAGCTTTGTTTAGCTGGTTCATAGTTATATTTTTCAAGATTCAGATGGATTTATCCTCTGCTGCTTTGGTAGAAACCAAACTACTTCAGCATTGATGGAAAACATCTGAGTTTTCAGGTACACCACAAAGAGCAAGTCAAACCAGATCCTCCATAGACTGATATTTCAGGGGAAGGCACTCCACACTCATTGGCTCATTGGCCAATTACTGAATTTGTGCTACCTTAGCCTCAGAAGTGGKAAAAAAACAAAGAATACCCAAGAAGTGTTTGGATCTTGGAAATAAAGTGCTTACAAAGACCATATGTTGCAGCACTGAAATATGATCAGTTGTCTTTTCATCCAAAAGGTCCTTCTGTCCTGGAGGCAAATCATTACATGTAAAATTTACCCACCTGACTCTTTGGAAAACAGATGTGCATGAAGATGTGCACAAAAGCAGAAATGGCCATATTTTGGTTTCTGCTGAGGAAAACTTTAGAAAACTGAGGTCTATGACTAGTAAAAGATGCCCTGTGACATAGCTAGTCTCTGGTTACATCAGTGGAAGAAAGACCAAAGTACTGCAACAAGCCCCTTTCATAGAAATACCAGAATTTTCTCTCAAAGAACAAGTTCGACAACTCACTCTCATCCCTAAGACCCTTCCTAGCCCRAATCTCTTTGCTTATTTGCTTTTCCTGGTTACTTGGTCCTGCTCCAGGCTACTCTCCTCTGCTGGTTGCACTGGTTCAGGTAGCCTGTCTCACACTCTTAGAGGAACACAGTTTCTTTGCTCTGCCCTAAGCAGAAAGACCTTGGCCTCAGGCCACCCTAGAGCATTTTAACCAAGGGGCATTAAGATAGTGCGATCACAAGGTTTTGAAAATACATGCATAGTCAATAATACATAGCCAAGGTATGGTTCCTCACGTCTCCAAAGAGAGATTGTATATGAAGACCATCTGAAAGCATTGTAAAAATGTACATTAGAGTTTTGTATGCTTGTCTTTTTTTTTCACACCTCCCCTTCCACCAATTTGGGAAGGATGATGTGGCATTATTAAGAATTCAGAACTATGCCTTATTTGCCTTTATTCCTGAAAAGGTCATTGTTGATTTTTGGCAGAGAAGCTGAAAGAAGAGCGAATAAAGGGATCAAACCATCCCTGTGATGCTTTCACAGATGGGCAAAACAAAAGCAGAGGAAGAAGCAAGGGAAGTGCATACTTTGGTCATAATAAAATTTATCTCCTTTTAGGGATTGCAAATGAAGTTGCCAAAAAGCATATTGATGAAGATGACTATTTTAGGGGATCTGGATATCTGCCTATKAAGTATTTCAGTGGACTGACATTCTCTACAGTGTAGTTGGTACAGGCATTCAGCCAGAACAACACAACATCACAAGAGGACTGACTAAAGTAGAGGTCCAGTTTTAGCAATAAAATCTGTAGCGTTGAACATGGATAATAAACCTTTCTGATACTGATGCACTAACAGTACAAAGTAGCACTACATGGGAGTAAAATGCTGTAGGCAGTGTTCACGTGACTTTACCAATGAGCTCTTTCAGAAGGGAGAGATTACAGAAATTATTCCATATTTTCACTTCCTGGCAATAYCGAATGCAGAATCTAATGACTCTAGTGCTGAGGGTGGTTTTCCAGCTCCATGGATGCATTATGAGGGCACTGACTTCCTCCTTTATTGCTAAATGGAAAACACAGGATAGTTTTTTTCCCAACTCTCCAGAAGTAGCRTGCCTGCAGCTGTGAAATGCGTTTAACACATCTCTTAGCTGTTCTATGAGCAAAGGAATATGCCGGAATCTTCATACATRGATGTCATAACTTGATAAATAAAGTAAGATATGATGTGAGGTATTGTAGTTTAGATACTTCAGGAAATTCTGGGATGGATTAGGGAGCATATTTATTTTTCCTGGAAGGCAAAACATATAAGCAACCAATCCTTTCTGTTAAGCATTGGCTCCACCACCTCTTTCTCCTTCCCAAAGCATTACACCTGCTTTTAATGGTGTAAAGACTCATGCATCTTACACCCTGACCTCAAACTAAAGCCAAATTCACATAAAAACAGAGAGCAAATATGACACAATCTTCTCCAAACAAGGAGGAGAATTTTATTATGTTTATTAAGAATGAAGTCTGACGGGAATTTTCTCAGTTAGGAATTTAATGTGCTGAGATTTCAGAGGCCTTTTAGAGATTTTTAACACTACAATACTCAAATAAGATCCCACTTTGCAATATATATCATATAAAGTATAAGCTAAGCCTCATTTTCTTTTGATTCTATAGTCACAATCTTTGGCACCATCTGCCTATGGTCCATATCTTGATGGAAAGCTCCCTGTGATCRTGCACATATATATAAACAATCTAGGTTATAATACTTTATTTTGTCTGCATTTAGATTTTATTCATGTGAGCTAACAGTTGGAAACCAAGAGGCTAAACCAGCACTAATATTAGCAAGCAGCACCATGTAAAATTTGTAAACTTCTAAGCCAAAATAAAACACATGGTTAGTGTAAATCTGCAATCAAAGAAGCGTCAACGACTTATACTGATTTAAATAAACATCTTATAGTGGTATTGCCTGTCTGTTGCATGTTATTCTATAAAAATGCAAATTTCTCTTTCTAGTAACAATGTTGAACACTTACTCTATTATGTGCAGAACTTGCTTTATTTTGAAATAATAACCGGCACTTCTACGTAATTTTTGAGCCAAAGAAAAAGAAGTTTAAGAAGAAGTGAAATTCTCTATACCAAAGCCATTACTATATACATACAGGTCAATTAAGTTCCTTGAGATTTATATGCATGGCAAAGAAATAATTGTGCTTTCCCACATGAAAGCATCTAGAATTTCTAAAACTGCCCAAAAGAGAAATGAGAAACCAGTGTAGCCTGGTGATCAGTGCACTTATAGAGCCAAGGAAGTAGCAAAGTTGCCGGTTGTTCTGAGATAATGTAAAGATCTGAAAAATTATCTTATACCATCCCAGAAAATCTCCAGGCCCTGCACTTTCTTACTTCTAAAGAAGAGGAAAAGAGGAAAGAGAAGGAAAGGTAGTGGAAAACGTGGGAGCAYGTCTCATTTCGTGAAAGTAAAATCCCTTCCAGGGCTTAAGAAAGCTTTCTCAGCAAAAGTTTATTAAAATGGCATGAAACAYTTAAGGTGCAGAACTGATGGAGCCCTTTTCTCAGATATCAGACCAACCCTCCCACCTCCAACAGGTGCACACTGACAGCAGAAGGAACTGAGGAGTAACAGAGGATGCTTATATAATAAAAAATACCTAGACTTTATATTTAAAAACTGCTCAGTTGTTGAAATATTTCAAAATCATTAAATAGAGTTGCAAACAACAGAACTTTTTAAAAATATAGCCCTTTCAGAGTACATTGGCTTAAGGTACCTTTTTCAAAGTGACAGCGGTGTTGGGTGCTGTAACTCTGCATGGAATGATCATTTCTCTTCCCACGGTCATGTGTATTATTTTAGGTATGTCACTATGCATCTCTACAAAGGGATTGCCTGTATCTGCAGAGGAAAGACAAAAAGAAAAAGGTTAATATCTGAAAGGTTAATGTGTGGGAAATATAACCATGGATATATCTTTGAAGGAACTGATTCACACTGTCCATAATGATAGCTAGAGAAAGTCCTCAGATTATGCTTTTATTTACTTTTATCTAAACAAGTTCATTACAAGGCTATGGAGAGTTTAAAAATACATTTGTTATTACCAATAACAAAATTACTACCAGTAGCTGTGCATTGATAACTCCTTTAAAACAGAGGCAAGTTAAAGGACACTTTTTCCCTTTACAGCATGTTCTCTATTGCTGGGAGTGAAGCAGTTTCTTCTTATTGGCCATTTCTAGTCTATTATTACCAGGAGAAGCAATTAGATGGGATGTAAGCTGAAAATCACTGTTCAATAAAACCCTTGCACAGAGCATGTTCCTGCTCCTTCAAGGAAATCAATGGGAAATCAATGGGAAATACCTACTCTTAGCCCACAGAATAGCAAGAGTTAATCATCACTCCCCTTCTCGCTACCACAATACCTATATGCCTCTTTTGTAAGCGACAAGGTAAATGAAAATGCCAGGAAAACATTTATTTCATTCAGCTCAATAACTGAAGCTTGGCAGAGTCATCTGGTGTCCCTTGAACAATCSCTTTGACAAAGGGCATTGTCCTGAATAGCTGGCGCTGGGGCCAGGGGACATCGCTGGGACCAAGGGACATTGCTGCTGCTATTGTTTGTAGCTTTTAACAAAGAGGGGCTCGAGCCACGGGCTGACTCCAAATCTTCTTTGCAGGTGTTCGAATCTGACAGCTTATTTGGCCTCACAGTGCAGCCAGCCTGCCCCAAACCTCACATAGGAGACTGGCTTTTTAACTCTAACATAGTAGAATATTTAGACATTAATTTCATGCTTATCTTCAGCCCCAATGCATTTTTTTTTCAGGTATATCCTAATATTCTCAGTCAGTCAATATCTTACATAGGATTCTTTCTCAGGAAAGAAACTGAGTAAAGAAAGTAAGAATTGACCCTTTTTTGAAAAAGTAAATTGGAGTACTTTACTGAAATGTTCTGGTCTCAGACTCCTGCACATGGATCTATTTTGGCTGATATAGCTCTTTCTTTAAACACATTGCTTTCCTTTCTCTTTCAAAAGTAGGAGCTGCACCTCCCAGTGTCATAAAAATATCTTGTCTTTAAGATCTTCTCTTCTTATATGCAAAGATGTTTTCATTTGAGATACTAAACAGGAAGAGGAGTAAATTCAACTTTAATTTATATTAGTGTCTGATTGAATCRTTGCACAGCGTTCCTAAAATGAAAGACTATCCCAATACTTCATTTAACAATAGGTGTTAAATGTCCACCAAGATAGCAAAAGGAACTGAGGAGTAACAGAGGATGCTTATATAATAAAAAATACCCTAAGGACTTGTTAGTCTAACATTTCCTTTGCAATATGATTCAAAGAAAGACCAAGAATGGACCTGTTTGTAGCATGACAAAAAGAACCTTTTCTGTTTTCCAGGGGCTGCAACCATGGGAGAGGTCACCTGCCCTTTCACATCCCCAGACAAATGGATTTACTGCTCCCTAAAGACTCCTTCGTCCTTGTCACAAAACTAAGAGCTCCTGCCCCAAACCAGCAAGCTTTGCAAAGCAGTTTCCTGTATCTGCAGATCGTTCCAAGTGAGGAAGAGCTGCTCTGGAGATTACCGGAGCTGCCGGCAGACACAGTGTCACCACTGGCCGATGCCAATACCGAGCYGAGGGGGGCTGTGCAGGATCCCTGCCCATCCCAAGGCAGGGACAGGAAACGAGCACAAAACGCCACGCTTGCTCTTTTCCTTTTTTTTTTTCCTTTGCTGGAAATGCATGTTCACGCCTGGAGAAGTCAATGAAGTGCTGCATGGAAGTCAAGTGAAGTGTCCCGGCTCCAGGCGTCCGTCGGCGCAGCCTTCCCGCGCGCTCATGAGGCGCCGGGACGCGGGAGCCCCGCGGCTCGCGTGCAGAATTCCCATTGACATCAGCRGGGACTTCCGCCGCGGGCCGGAGGGCAATCGATGGCCCCGAGTGCTCCAAATGTCTTCCTGCTTTTGATTAAAAGGAATCCGCATCATGTTTCCTTGCACAGTTTTGTTTTCATAATGAGCGCGGAGGCTTTTCCTGATTCCCTTTGATTTTATTCTTCTTGCTTCTTAATGGCTATAAGGGGATACTCTTGGTGCTCCGAGACCAGAAACTGGGGCCAGGTCTCCCAGCTTGGAGCAGCCAGAGCTGAGCCCACTTCCAGACGTAGAGTCTTTCTGCCCCCCAAGCAATAGCAGAGCTCACTCCGTTCTTCCTCTTGGCCTCCCATTTCTATCTGCTGTCAGTGGCTACGGATACATTTCCCCTAATTCCTTCCTGGGGGGAGGTAGAGCCTTCCTGGCTGGAACGTGTTCCTCACCTCCCACTGGCAGTCCTCAGAGTCAGCTTCAGGAAAGGAATTTCTCAGCTCCTTAGGCCTTCTTCACCACACACGGTTTTATGCTCGGAAAGCTCTAGGCATAACAGGAATGTCATGGTGATCCAGACCTTTTAAAGGGGATGGGAAGAAAAGAGCCAAGTGGGATTCTGACTTCCAGTCGGCTGTTCTGAGAGTGTCTGACCAATCTTGAAATCCATGCGAGTTCCATCAGTCTTTAGAATGGAAAATCCAATTGAGTTGACCTTGTTTTTCATTTTTTTTTTTCTTTCGGAGCTGCTGGTAAGGGTAGAAAATAAAAGATGGATACCCTAGAAGATTTGCATATGCTAAGTTGCTTTAAAATCTCTCTTTTTTTTTTTTTTTTTTTTTTTTCCTGTGCCTGGAGATAAAGAGTGTATGTTAGTTTGACCATGTTCCTTACAATAGCTCTCATTTACAATCAACTTGAAACCACAAGGAGCATTCATGAAATCACAAAATCCATGAAGGTCACTTGCTATTATTGTTAAAGAACATAAGTAGCAGGTTTTTTTTCCAAGCTGGTTGGCAGCCATATTCAAATTTGATAAGAGACTGAACACAAGCAATATCATGTCTGGTATCAGTAGAGTAGTCTATCTCTAGTATCAGTAACCAGTCCAGGCTATTTCTGGGCTTTTACAAAGAAGTAAATCAGCCAGCAACATAATACTAGTTTCAGAAAAGATTAGAAAGTTCTTTATTTCTGCATTCTTGGCTACATTTTTTTTTTTAAATAAACCCAGCTATAGTTACTCACATAAAGAGAGAAGAAAAGTCTCTCCAGGAAAGTTTGAGGTCCATCACTAGAGACTGATGGACCTCAATAAATTTCTCCTCTAAGGGTTCTCCAATATACCAGCTTATATTGAGCCTGTCATTAAGATTTTGTCAGGCAAAAAGAGCTGAGGCAGTTTCAACATATTCACATAAAACTTCTTCCCCAAGCACACAAACAGGACCAGATTTATTATTATATGTACTTGTAAACTTCACAAAAGCTAACAAGCCAATTGCCAAATTCCTTTCCTTGCACTGATGCACCCTATTTAACTTTAGTAATTCTGGCTATATCATTAGGGTTGTTCAAAATTAATTCAAGGAGAGCCTTGCTCTCTGAGAATGGACTTTATCTCACCTCTACATGTATAATATTGACATCTCTGTCTGAGCTTAGTGTCCAGCCTGCTCAAGTAGTCACTGGAAAGAAAAAAAATAAAAGGAATTCTGGCATGATGACCTATCTGGTTAGCTTCAGGATGAGAAGAATCATGTCCTAGAAAAGACATTTATTGAACCTGCTCACATGCAGATGTCTGTGTTTGCAAGGAAAGAAATCCCTTTCTGCATGTCTGGAAGGGTTGCACGTCTTGCTCTCTGCAAGGAGGGCTTTTCTACCCTGGTCTCTCCTTAGCCTATAAAATAACACCCTTTTATTTCGAACACTGTCTAAATATTTAAGGAAGATTCAAGATTTAAGTTAACAGACACAGAAGTCTGGGAGAAGTAAAAGGAGGACAATATTTTATGTCTGGAGCCCATTCAAAYATAAGGCATTGTGGGCATACCTATAGTGCAATTTCTAGCTAGGGTTTGCTTGTTCTCCTTTTGAGGGAATTTACACCAGGCTATTAACTATCTAAGTCCATAACACACTTAAAACATGCTTACACTTGTTAAGGAAAAATATTCTTATCCATGTTAGCCAGGAAATTCACAGCAGAGCAATCACGATGATGAGCAAGTTATTTCTTAAAAAGGTTAATGGGCATTCAAAACATTTGTCCAGATACAACCATGGTTTATCTTGGAGAAGTATTTCTGTTTCACCAAGAGCGATAAGCTTCCCGTGTGAGGAAGCAGGACCTCGGCGAGCTCAGCGTGCAGCTGTGGAGCCTTGTGGAGGCTATGCTCAGTGGTGACRCTACTCGTGACCACAGCAAATACAAGTGATTTATGTCCAGGAATCCTAAAGGGCTCTGTTTGGCGACAGGAACTTCATTAGACACTAAAAACGTGTCCACAAACAGCTGTAGCACAGTTTAGCTTCCACTAGTTTCCTTTTTGCAACCGAAATGCTATCATATTATTGACTCTGATGTTGTTAGCCAAAAATGTACAACTCATCCTACTGCTGTGCCAAAAGCAAAGAAAAAATGAAAAGCATGATTGAGGAAAAGGTTTCTGGCCTATCAGGTTCCTCCATTGCTTCCTTACTAAGTTATTTCTGGATAAGAAAAAAGAGAAGAATGAGAAAGTCTCTTTCTGCTCATACTCAGGGCGTTCTGTCTTGCTACTTTTTTTTCTCTGCCAAATTATTTTGACTTTGAAGTTTCTGATCTTGAAAAAAAATCCTTCCAGGGAATTCTTTTGATGTCCTCCCTGTTCTGTGATGGAGAACGTTTTGAGTTATATGGGAACCAAACCATTCAAGTTACAGGTTAAATGGCTAACTAAATCCATGTCAGTTGTGGGGCTGGATCCAGCCCTCTGCCAACAACTGGCCCTCCCAAAGGAGAATCCACACTCAGCATTTGCAGAAGGCAATTCTAGAGTTCGAACAAACACTCAAAAAAAAAAAAAAAAAAAAAATCCCACAAAGCATCAAGTGTTTTTTTCATGTCACAGGTCTGTATTTGGAAGCACTCACTAGTGATAAAGAATTACATTTTGGACTGCCCAGCTTGACACACCTCTCAAATATCCACAGTTAATAGAGATATTTGAAATTCTCTAAACTGCTGACCAGAGTGCCAGCAAATGGGTCACTTTACAAGGCAGAGCACCCAGATGGTCAGCACATGTGCACATGGGGAATACAAGGAGAGACGAGAAGAAGAACAAATTTGAGGAAGAGTCAAATTAGTACCCTGAAACTAGAAAACAATTTCACATGGAGAAAAAATCTCTATTGTAATAGAATTAAAACATACTCTTGTATAGCCTAAAGTTATTGTTATCACAAGAGGAAACAACATTTCAGCTTTGATTCAYTTAAATTTCTGCAAAGACATAACCTTGATTTGATATATAAATGTAATTTAACATATTGTCTTTTCTCTGCCCTACCATGAGAATAGGTGATAAAATACTAAGAAGAAAGAGCCCATGAGAATAAAGAATGTAGAGAACTGCAGATTTTCAAGGAAGAAAGAAAATAAATGAGCTCCAGCAACTAGAAAAAGAGCATCTTGGAGCTACCAGAATAAAGGCAGATAGAAAGACGAGCCTTCACACGGTCCCTAGGGAAATCTGTGTAGGCTTCAAAATAGCCTACTGATAATTTGGAGTTGCTTAAATGTCTTTGTTCCATAATGATCTCTTTTCAAGCAGAAAATTCTCCACATCGTACTCCAACGTACACAGAAATTATTCATTACAAATCTTTCCATTTAACTACCAGGCTGCAGTTGTGTAACCAAACAGACATCAGAGCCCTTTTCCATTGGAGCAAATGAAGAAATTGGCAAAGAGGCTTTGCTGTGTTTCAGATTTTTTCCCATGGCTCATGGTGGAAGTCAGGACGTGAGTTTTCTATGAGCAAAGTCCAAGGCTCTTTGGAGAATTAATTTCTCCTGCTGGATGCCTCTGTCATGGAGCTGTGTGTGGCCAAGTGTTCCTGTGATACAGTTCCTTGCTCCCTGTGCTACTCAGTGGTGACCTCTCCACCCAAAACTCAGGCGCTGTCTTGACTTGCTCCTCAATGGGATGTTGGAACCCTCCATGAGGAACCCTCAATGGGATGTGGGAACAGTCAGGAACCAGCCTGACTGTTCTTGATCACTCCAACACTAGACTCCAGAAATACTTTAAATAATGCAGGAGCACATGGATTCGCAGTCCCCCTCTTATAAACTTGTCTTCTGCCATGGTATATTCTTATTACGGAACCAAAGAACTTAATGGTTTTATTGTTTTTTATTCACTTCATATTCAGTATCACTTCAATTACGGAAATGAATAACATTTTAAAAACAGTAAGTGATGACTTCCTGTACAAACAATATCAACTTTCCTGATTCAGGTTCTGTGTTTGTAAATAGCAACTATTTGTTCATCTGCTGCACGTTGAGACATGGGAAAAAGGCGCCTTGGTCATCCACATGGAGCTGATACGGGAAATGGCCTGACACAACGTCCTGCCACAGGAAACAATCCAAAACTAGGAGTGACCCAAATTTTACAAATGTTTATTTCCAAATAAAATCTATTCCCAGAAATCCATTCAAAATAAAATTAAAATTCAAGAAGCATGGTCTTAAAAGGTTTCCTTTGTCCCCATCTTAGCTCGCTTGAGTCAGATATTTGAACAGCACGCAGGGCTTCAGTTAACAAGTTGCCAATGACTTACATTAAGAGATTCAAGTGTTTTGGTTTGGGAGGTTACAAATGCCAGTGCTATACTGATCAAAATAAGTAGCACCCTTTTATTTTTGTACTCTGAATAAATGGAGTGATATTTTTAACAGGCATTTTATGAACCTCCCTCATTATCGGTAAGTTGCCAAACTCATTTATGTGCTTACTAGGACATAATCCTAGTGATAAGTGCCACAAATCTGACTTTCAACCGAAAGGATTGTCTAAAAATTAAGATTATTAAGATGCTGAAATATGATCTCAGATTGTCTCACAAAGATTTTTTCTTTCTTGTCAAGTAAGGAAGGGAGTGAAGCTTCATCTAATTCCTACATTCAAAAGTGATATGAACATTTAATACCAATATGTTTTTGGAAAATGGACGTAACTAGAACATTCAGGCCCTCTGTTTTATCTGGGGTTTTTTTTTTGTTGTTTTGTTTTGTTCTTGTTTGTTTGTTGGGTTTTTTCTTTTTTTTTCTTTTCTTTTTTTTTTTTTTTTTTTTGTATGTGTGTGGCGTGGGAAAGGGAACTGATCAAAGTTTCCAGTGAATTCTTATGTTTCCAAAATTTCCAAAATTTCCAGTTTCCAATGACAGGTTTCTCTTCCATCATGTGAATCCTTTAGGCAGATAACCGTGTTTCATAAATTGACTTAGGTTGTCTTTCATATGTAAAGAAGCTGCACACAACTCAGGAAGAAGTGAACAAGTTAGAAAGATTGTGTCTTCCATTTATCATAATTCAGGATCCAAAAGAATTTACACCTCAAGACCAGGAAAACATGAAGGGATCTCATATACTGTGAAAACTGTTTTAGTACAGTGGTTCTCTGGCAGGATTCCAGGTATCCTTGCTCTTCTCATGTTGTAAGYGGAGAGGATTTGGGGTAGATCTCAGTTAGAGAGGAGGTCCAAGGTAGAAGGCTCAAGGATATGATCACAAAATGGGAAACATAAAAAAAAAATCCAAGAAAATCACAAGTTTTGCAAAGCAGTGGGAAATGTTTGCCACTAGATGAATAACCTACTTTCATTCTGCTTCATGGTGCTTCTGCAGTCGGTGAAAGCCAATTCACAGCCAGTGAATTAGGACAGTAAGGCTCACGTAGGTAAATAGCTGGGTGAGAAAATATTCTGCGCTATGTTTCAGATGTGAAAAGCAGGATGAACAGCATGAATTATTCAATAATTCTCATCAAGGCAACACACAATAACCAAGAGCAGTATCTTATTTTCTATCACTGCAGTGAGAGATCCACTTTGTTCTGCTTTCTCACAGCACCAGTCCCACACTTCATGTCACCAAAYGGAAACAAAGGCTAATTCACTCTGATGTGAACTCGTTAGAAGAAGCAGACACGTAATTTGGAAAAAATCCAGTTGCACATTCTCTCTAATCCAGGCTCCCAAAATCTGTGAATCATGATGCCTTAATCTACTAACTTTTATTTTGCTGTAAAAATCAAGACTAGGATACAAAGTTAAAATGCAAAACCTAGAGGSCTTCTTTTATTATTATTTCAATTGAATTTAGTTGTTCTGAGAAGTGTCTGATTAATATCCTGGAAGAAAACAAAACCAGCAAACAACCTCTATTATAGCTTAACTGACCTAATTCCAACATTTCCCACATATTGCACAATAACACACGGTTGTACATAGCTTGGGTCTGCTTCTTTGAGATTTTTACAATCTTTGTAACATGAAGCAAGTTAGTTTTTAATGAAGCTGATGTGCAAATGCTAACTTTCTACAAGATAAGAAAATCCTGTGATGTGGAAAGCAGTATCAGCATCCTTCAACTGTCTAGAAATCTACAGTCATACAGTCACAGTTTAAAGAAGACGTTGTGACAAAGGTACAGTTTTCATCAAACAGTATTTGATTCTGTAAAACATGACTTCTCTAACACCCATTTCGGGTTCACTTCTAGTCTACTTCCTTGTGAAGTTATAGCTACTTGAATTGACTTGTTGGATTTGGTCTCTTTCTTTCCTCRTTTTTTTTTCTCATAAAAGATAAAACTTTAGCATTTGTATTTGCAAGATGTAAGAAAGCAGATTTAATATAATAAATTGGTAATTTTTCATCATATTTTGCAAGGCTGAAATCATTGGAAATCCTGTATTTCACCATAGCTGACGTGCATTTTTTAAAATCCATTTTGCCACATTGAAATGAAAGTTCCAAGAAGTGTTAAAAAAAGTAGTCTTACCATTAATAAATACATAGACAGTAGATTCCTTCTTCTTTTTCACAGCACTTGTTGGATATTTGCAGCTATAGCTTCCAGTGTCACTTGCTTGAGTTCTGCTCAAGGTCAGACTACTACAAGACTGCTTCCCATTTCTTCCACAGTCATATTTAATTACTTTCAGCCTTTCGCTATCCTTACTTAGAGTTTCAGGCAAAGACCATGAATGAACCATTTCCCCCCTGCAAATACAGATAAGGAAGCAGAAACAATTATGTTGGTCTGCAATTATATAGCTTAGTTCCCAAGCTTTCTTTTTTATTATATTAGGCTATTTCTGGGGTTCTCTTTTATCTTGTTTTCCAAAAACAACAACAGAAACAACAAAGAACTATTAAACAATTGCCATTGAAGTTCACTCCCCACCTTTCCCCACAACGTAAGTTTTTTTTTTCCTAATTACAGAGAAAGAAAAGAGAGAGAGAGAGAAAGAGAGAGAGAAAGAGAGA